ATAAGAGCATTGGCTCTCTAAGCAAAAATGTATGCATCAATACAGAGACATTTTTTTATTGCTGATGATGAAAGGTAGAGCTTTACAACTCTTAACTAGACAGAGCTGGACACAGAACTCGGCAAGTTTCTTCTTGTGGCATCGGCTGGCCCTTAACTGCACATTTCTTTGCTATTCCAGTTTCAGTCTCCCCTGAGGAAAGATCACTACTCAGCCCAGTTGTGTGAGAGGGCAGTACACCAGTTCACAGAACCACTTGGCCTCTTGTTATAAAGGGTAACCATAGAATCATAAAATCATAGCAAAGTAGAGTTGGAAGGCACCTCAGGAGGTCATCTAGTCCAACCCCCTGATCAAAGCAGAACCAGCCCAACTAGATCATCTCAGCCTTTGTCTAGCCGGGTCTTAAAAACCTCCAAGGATGGAGAGAGAGTCCAACACCTCTCTGGGTAATCTGTTCCAGGGTTTTACTACTGTCCTAGTGAGAAAATTCTTCCTATTATCTAACCTAAACTTCCCTTGCTGCAACTGGAGACCATTGCTCCTTGTTCTGTCATCTGTCACCACTGAGAACAATCCAGCTCCACCCTCTCCTGAAACTCCCTTCAGGCAGTCGAAGACTGCTATTAAATCCCCCCTCAGTCTTCTCTTCTCCAGACTAAATAAGCCCAGTTCCCTCAGCTTGTGCTCAGAAGTCATGTGAACCTGCACCATTTTTGTTGCCTTCTGCTGGACTCTCTCCAATCTGTCCACATCCTTTCTGTAGGAGGAGGGGGTAGCGTGCAAAACTGGACACAGTACTTCAGATAAGGCCTCACCAGTGCTGAATGGAGAGGAATAACCACTTCCCTGGACCAACTGGCAACACACCTACCAATGCTGTCCAGTATGCTTTTAGCCTTCTTGGCAGCAAAGGCACGCTGCTAGCTCACATTCAGCTTAATGCCCACTGTAACGTCCAAGTCCTTTTCTGCAGAGCTGCTGCCCAGCCAGTCAGCCCCCAGCCTGTACTGGTGCATGGGACTGTTCTGTCCTAAGTCCAGGACTTTGCACTTGTCCTTGTTGAACCTCATGAGATTTCTTTAGGCCCAAGCCTCCAATTTGTCTAGGTCATTCTGAATCCCAGCCTTACCTCCAGTGTATCTCCTACTCCCTGCAGCTTGGTGTCATCTGCAAACTTGCTGAGGGTGCACGGTATTTCATAATTTCATAGTTAGTAGGGTCAGAAGGGACCTGAGCAGATCATCAAGTCCAACCCCCTGCCATGGCAGGAAAGAGTACTGCGGTCAAAAGACCCCAGCAAGGTGTTCATC